ACATCGCCACAAACATTGAGCTGTACAAACAGGTAGCAAAATATTTGACATGTTCATGATAAATATTGCATTTTCCTTGAATTTTGTTTCCATAACTTTCTTTTCTTGACTAAATTCAATAGTATCACCAATGCTGCCGGGGTCATGCCTGGAATACGACTTGCTGCTCCGATCTGCAAGAGAGATGACCATCAGAATACACTTTGGCTTAAATTTTTATAACTGAACTTTCTTGTCGATACTACCATATAGAATACTAATAACTTACTGTGGATGGTCTCACTTGACTTAGCTTCTCTCTGACTTCCTTAGATACATTAATACTAGTAAAAAAAAATCAATTTACTATAATGCAAACTACTAGCAATATTGATGTTCATGACGATACCACCAAGATCACTTACAAGTTCAATTTTAGTATTTCATCTAAAGTTTGTACGGTATAAGCAATTCAATTCTTTACTCAATATGTACAAAAGCTGCACTGATTGGGACATTTACCAACTATGAAATACATATGTGAGAATTTCACCATGACTTGTAAATGTTAATGGATTACAATGATGGGGGGATTAGGGATATTCCCCACTAAGTACAATGAATTATTGCAAGTTGTTTTTTATTTTCACATCGGGAAAGGCAATTCTAAATGTGATCAACTCAAGAAAAGCTATGACTTTTTCCATTGTTTCCTCAGGTACAAAAATGACATAATTAATAAAAATGACATAATTAATAAAAATGACATAATTAATAAAAATGACATAATTAATAAAAATGACATAATTAATAAAAAAAAGCCAAATTTCTGTGAAGCTTTTTTTCTACAATGAAGTGTATAGAGATATGTGTCTCTGTTTTGTTGTTTATTGTTACCCTAACTACTTGAGTTGTGTCTAATAATTGTATAGAGATATGCGTCTCTGTTTTGTTGTTTATTGTTACCCTAACTACTTGAGTTGTGTCTAATAATTGTATAGAGATATGCGTCTCTGTTTTGTTGTTTATTGTTACCCTAACTACTTGAGTTGTGTCTAATAATTGTATAGAGATATGCGTCTCTGTTTTGTTGTTTATTGTTACCCTAACTACTTGAGTTGTGTCTAATAATTGTATAGAGATATGCGTCTCTGTTTTGTTGTTTATTGTTACCCTAACTACTTGAGTTGTGTCTAATAATTGTATATATATTTTATAAGCAAATGTTAGCACAATACAATATAAACAGCTGTTTGTAGGACCTTGTGTTTTACTGTCAAATCCCATACCTATCATAATCCACATCAGTAGGTAGCATCAATTCTTCATCCTGTTTAATTGCTTCTATATCAGAATTTATCTGCCACATTACTGGTGCATAGATACCTATAATTTATGAAATATTTGCAAACATTAGGCTTACTGCCATGCATATACAGGATATATAACATCAGATAATCCATCATACTAATCCATTATACTAATCCATCAGATAATCCATCATACTAATCCATCAGATAATCCATCATACTAATCCATCAGATAATCCATCATACTAATCCATCAGATAATCCATCATACTAATTCATCAGATAATCCATCATACTAATCCATCAGATAATCCATCATACTAATCCATCAGATAATCCATCATACTAATCCATCATACTAATCCATAGTGTAATATCATGAACATAATGCAGGAAGAATATTCATACAGTCGATAATATGACATGGTACTATAATGAGTACAGTTATTGCTATGTAAGCAGACATCACAGTAAACTGTAGATACTTGCCTTCAATTTTTAGTCTGGTTGCAATTTCCACATCATGAGCCAGATGTTTAAACTCTGGACAAGCTTGGGATAACTTATAAATAGTTACTTTATCATAGTTCAATATATCAAAAGCACTGTAAAATTTAATAAGGAATCAATGTTTCAGTAAGACAAACTGAAAGATAGAAAGACACTTGAAAACCAGCTTAAAACCTTACAGGAACTTGTGATATGCCAAGTTTTTGCTGGGTTCTCTGTAAATTTTGGGAGTTAATAAACTTTCCACCAGAAAAGCATGACTTAATGTTTAGAAGGCACTTGACATGCAATAACAGGTAATAAACAAATGTTGACAAAACAGATATATCTACAGAATGGTCTTGCAATATCAAGCTGTATATTCCAGATATCTCTCAGATTATTTAGATTTCAGAGAGGTGAACTTTGCACCTGATTGAGATGAACTAAATAATACTCAACTACTCAACAGAATTGCTTGAAATAAAAGTATATACCTTCTTTTGTGTTGACCAGCTAAATGTATATTCATCGTGTCTTTCCAGAACGATGGTGTTTTCTTCACAGACTTTAGTAGCTCAGTGTCATGTTGTAGTTGTGTTTGTACTGCACTCACTACTTTACATCGTTCTTCACTAACACAACCAACATCATAACCTAGCAGTAATAATTTCATATACAGACTCCCAGTTAAATCCTACATTTGACTTCTTGTTGTACTGTACATATAACAAAACCTGGTTTTGTTCAGATTATTAGGCTACTTATTATAATAGCTACTTTTCCAGTAATTTATTGCAGATATACATTTACTAACCTTTATATAGCAATGACAGTATATTTTGTGTCAACAAATCTGTATACAAGTATTAGTCAGCAGTAAAACTTGTCACTTTCAGTCTGCTTTTTTTAAAATGTGATAAGATAATATGTATAAAATATCACTTTTAGCAGCAGTTTCCAGAGACCATGATGAAAACACATTATCCTTGTTAAATTGTTTGAATATTTCTAGACATCAAAAAATACCTGCCATATATTGGTGATCTCATATTTTTTATTTATTTTCTCAATTTTTGTAACATGATATATTAAATATGACAATATTTTTACTTTTGTGTAGCATATGTTCTAAACAGACTGCCGATAGTGATTATAGAGGCAACATACATTCCAGTCAAGTAAGTTAAAAATTGTCAGCCTCTGACTGATATTGACCAACTAGATGAATAGATGAGAAAAATTAATTCATCATAATTATGTAAAATAAAAATATCATGTTCCTCAAATAATACAACATGTACTGTATTAATCCTAATGTCTCTAATAGAATAATTTGAGTTCCTACAAAGTAATAGTACAGCAACAACAAGTTTTTTTTATAATAATACTACATGTACTGTATTAATCGCAATGGCCCTATTAAAATATAGCATGAATTATATAAAAGTTACCAAATAATAGTGCAGTAATATACAAAGAAAATAAATACTAGCCAGAAAGAAGCAGCATCTTTTTTTTCTACTCATGACATATTACTTTACTACACTTATTTAGGAGATCATATTACTAACATCTGGTTGTCATTACCAGCATTTAAATGTCTTCATTTTGTCTAAAAATGTTTTATTTCTGTCAAATTTTACTTCATTTCTTGATAATTGCATTTTCTAGTTCACACAAAAATTTAACTTTTCATAGCAATTGATAATCTTAATATCTTAAAAAATATACATGAAACAGTTTCCAAAACTGAACTGAGATTTCAAACTGGTTAATACAATATCCAAGTGTGAAAGAAATTGGATAACAACTGCCAGAGTTATTGAAACCACAAGAAAAAGTTTTGTGACGTAATCAACAACAACAACAAAAAACAACAAGAACAGACATTTTCCCACTGATATAACTTGAACTTTATCTGAACAAAAATCATGCTGGTCCATCAAACTGGGTATACCACAAATGTGGGTGCTATTTAATGTAAGACTGCCTGGAGCAGAATAGTTTTTTGTACCTTTTTTAGTGAGTCTCAAATCTGCATTATCCGGTCTTAGATGTAATCTAAATTCAGCTCGACTTGTAAACATTCTGTAGGGTTCTATCACTCCTTGGGTTGTCAAATCATCAATCAGTACACCGATGTATCCATCTGTCCTTTTCACAATGAATTCATCATTATTCTTTACTCTACATGTAGCATTGATACCGGCCATTATTCCCTGTAAAACACAACTCTACAGGTAGCATTGATACCGGCCATTATTCCCTGTAAAACACAACTCTACAGGTAGCATTGATATCGGCCATTATTCCCTGTAAAACACAACTCTACAGGTAGCATTGATACCGGCCATTATTCCCTGTAAAACACAACTGTACAGGTAACATTGATACCGGCCATTATTCCCTGTAAAACACAACTCTACAGGTAGCATTGATACCGATCATTATTCCCTGTAAAACACAACTCTACAGGTAGCATTGATACCGGCCATTATTCCCTGTAAAACACAACCCTACAGGTACATTGATACCAGCCATTATTCCCTGTAAAACACAAATCTACAGGTAGCATTGATATCGACCATTATTCCCTGTAAAACACAACTCTACAGGTAGCATTGATACCGGCCATTATTCCCTGTAAAACACAACTCTGCAGGTAGCATTGATACCAGTGTTAATTCCCTGTAAAACACAACTCTACAGGTACATTGATACCGGCCATTATTCCCTGTAAAACACAACTCTACAGGTACATTGATACCGGCCATTATTCCCTGTAAAACACAACTCTACAGATAGCATTGATACCAGTGTTAATTCCCTGTAAAACACAACCCTCCAGGTAGCATTGATACCAGTGTTAATTCCTTGTAAAACATAACTCTACAGATAGCCAAAGTAATAACAATTTCATGATATCCAGTGATGCATACCTCACAGTCACTAAATGGTAACAAATTAAATGCTAATGAAAAACATTAATTGTGCAAATGGGGGAAAAAATCAGTAAGAAAAAAAACAGAAAAAACAAATAAGTTGCCTACTTATTAATAATTATATTAACTGTGCAAGAGGGAGAAGTTGGTGAAGACCGGTACAATGGTACATTGGAAGACCAATGGTACAAGCCTAGTCCAGGTTAACAAAGTCTTACCTGTGCAGCTGCTTCCTCATAACCAGTTGTACCATTTATTTGACCAGCAAGATACAATCCAGTTATAAAGTGTGTCTCAAGACTGGGTTTTAATTGTCTTGGTTCAATGTAATCATACTCTACACCATAACCTATTAATATAGAATACAGTAATGATAAAATCATGTGCACTGTAACACACATAATAAACAAATAATAATAAAACACATTAAAACCACTGTAATAACATTGTAACAATATTATACAACTATGCACATGTTACAATGTTAGAGTAATGAACATATTTTAGCACTTATTAAGTCATTGACAATTTTTTTTAATAGCTAATTACACAATGTGAATAGATGAGGATGAGATAGAATTGCTATAACTTGTAAACCATTTTGAATCCTTATTTTGGGAATTCTTTACAGACAGTGTTTAACAATATTTTAGCCACTGCTCTACTGATGTTAAATGTTTTCCTTAAAATTATTTTCAACTTGGTGAGGATGTGACATATCCAGTATATGTTTATTTTGTTTGTCTGAATCAAGATTATTGATAACAAACAAGTCAACAACATTGACATCACTGCAAATTTCAAACTGGAATGAAGTGCTTCATTTCTGGTCGGTTTTATGCTTTGATTAACACATTGCCTGTTACATATACTATTGATAAAGACTATGCATGGAGGCTTTCAACAGGCATTGTGTTAGGAGGTGAGATGAACATATCCTGAAGTATACAAAATCAAAATGCAGACAACCATCTTATCTCAAATTACATGATCATAGCATTTGCAGATGTTTCCCATGATGATTTATGCATGAGTAAATTGTGAAACAAAATGTGCCAAGACCAAATCCATGCTTACCCTGTAAACAGTTTGAAATGACAATAGGTCATAAGATACCTGGTTTAACTATTTCAGCATTTTCAAGGCCTGTTACTTTTCTAATTAGCTGTAACTGCAAGTCAACTGGAAGTGTACAAGATAGTCCCTGTGGGTAAATTATATTGGACGTCAAACCTAATATAATGAAAAATTACATTTCACAAAATTATTATGATTATAGTAATGATATAAACATATCTAAATTTTTTTTTTGACATACAATTGAAACGATTCAGAAATATGATAAGCAAATCAGTTAATTAATATGCTAATTAATATGCAAGGATTCATCTCATCACATTTGCAGGATGGCAGATGGTTCAAGAATTCATCCAGAAAAATGTTTATTTACCTTCAGGCTCTAACCATACTTGATGTGGTCTGTTTGTAAACCTCATTACCTTTGACTCAATAGATGGACAATATCTGAAAAAACAAAGGTTTATCATGAAGTAGGTTGTACTATTATTGTTTATAAACACGATGGTAGAAAATAAATATACAGAGAAGTGTTTGTTGGTCAAATCTTTTGAATATGAATTATTATTATTGCATATGAATAAAAGTGTGTCGTTTACAATCTTCATATGAAAAAAAGTGTGTGGTTTAAAATCGTCACATGAATACAGGTGTGTGGTTTAAAATCTTCACATGAACAAGTGTGTGGTTTACAATCTTCACATGAACAAGTGTGTGGTTTACAATTTTCACATGAACACAAGTGTGTGGTTTACAATCTTCACATGAAAAAAAGTGTGTGGTTTAAAATCGTCACATGAATACAGGTGTGTGGTTTAAAATCTTCACATGAACAAGTGTGTGGTTTACAATCTTCACATGAACAAGTGTGTGGTTTAAAATCTTCACATGAACACAAGTGTGTGGTTTACAATCTTCACATGAACACAAGTGTGTGGTTTACAATCTTCACATGAACACAAGTGTGTGGTTTACAATCTTCACATGAACACAACTGTGTGGTTTACAATCTTCACATGAACACAAGTGTGTGGTTTACAATCGTCACATGAACACAAGTGTGTGGTTTACAATCTTCACATGAACACAAGTGTGTGGTTTACAATCTTCACATGAACACAAGTGTGTGGTTTACAATCTTTACATGAACACAAGTGTGTGCTTTACAATCTTCACATGAACACAAGTGTGTGGTTTACAATCTTCCCATGAACACAAGTGTGTGGTTTACAATCTCCATACGAATAAAAATATAGGGTTTAGTTTGGAAAGACACGGATTGACCTAACAATGTATACATATGGTCAAGACATTGCATGTTGTGTCCTTATCTGAATATGCCAACACTTTTCAATGGTTTTGGGTTTCCAAAATCAGCTGATAGTTGCCATATCTACAAAAGTACAAACATGCCATTCTTTAGAACATTGTGATAAATTGACATGGTTGATGAGTAAATATAGCCAAAGACAGACGAGAGTGGAGAGCTATAGCTCACGGCATAAAGAGCAATAAACTAAGCTTTGGTTTACTACAATCACAGATATCTAAGCATACTTGCCTTGGTCCAGATGTTTCTTCCATTACATGTCTATTGAGATGCATGTTCTTCAAAACAATTTCATTCACCTCTGGTGTTGTATGAGTTAGATGACATGCAAGTTGATCCTGAGTCTGTGTAGATATTGCAGCATGTGATAAATTGGTGACAATGATGCTGTGACCACAAGATGTATGGCAAGCCTGCAGTAGCCATAATTCACTTACCAATAGATTAAAAAATGGGCAATATTAGAGGAGGTTGATTGGCAGTATTAGAGGGGATGATTGGCAGTTATTAGAGGGGATGATTGGCAGTATTAGAGGGGATGATTGGCAGTATTAGAGGGGATGATTGGCAGTATTAGAGGGGATGATTGGCAGTATTAGAGGGGGGTGATTGGCAGTATTAGAGGGGATGATTGGCAGTATTAGAGGGGATGATTGGCAGTATTAGAGGGGATGATTGGCAGTTATTAGAGGGGATGATTGGCAGTATTAGAGGGAATGATTGGCAGTATTAGAGGGGGATGATTGGCAGTATTAGAGGGGATGATTGGCAGTATTAGAGGGGGATGATTGGCAGTATTAGAGGGGATGATTGGCAGTATTAGAGGGGATGATTGGCAGTATTAGAGGGGATGATTGGCAATATTAGAGGGGATGATTGGCAGTATTAGAGGGGGGATGATTGGCAGTATTAGAGGGGATGATTGGCAGTATTAGAGGGGATGATTGGCAGTATTAGAGGGGATGATTGGCAGTATTAGAGGGGATGATTGGCAGTTATTAGAGGGGATGATTGGCAGTATTAGAGGGGATGATTGGCAGTATTAGAGGGAATGATTGGCAGTATTAGAGGGGGATGATTGGCAGTATTAGAGGGGATGATTGGCAGTATTAGAGGGGATGATTGGCAGTATTAGAGGGGATGATTGGCAGTATTAGAGGGGATGATTGGCAGTATTAGAGGGGATGATTGGCAGTATTAGAGGGGATGATTGGCAGTATTAGAGGGGATGATTGGCAGTATTAGAGGGGATGATTGGCAGTTATTAGAGGGGATGATTGGCAGTATTAGAGGGAATGATTGGCAGTATTAGAGGGGGATGATTGGCAGTATTAGAGGGGATGATTGGCAGTATTAGAGGGGATGATTGGCAGTATTAGAGGGGATGATTGGCAGTATTAGAGGGGATGATTGGCAGTATTAGAGGGGATGATTGGCAGTATTAGAGGGGGATGATTGGCAGTATTAGAGGGGATGATTGGTAGTATTAGAGGGGATGATTGGCAGTATTAGAGGGGATGATTGGTAGTATTAGAGGGGATGATTGGCAGTATTAGAGGGGATGATTGGCAGTATTAGAGGGGATGATTGGCAGTATTAGAGGGGATGATTGGCAGTATTAGAGGGGGATGATTGGCAGTATTAGAGGGGGATGATTGGCAGTATTAGAGGGGGATAATTGGTATTATTTGAGGGGGGAGGTTGGTCATTTTTAGAGGGGGAGATTGGCATTATTAGAGGGGATGATTGGCATTATTAGAGGGGATGATTGGCAGTATTAGAGGGGATGATTGGCAGTATTAGAGGGGATGATTGGCAGTATTAGAGGGGGATGATTGGCAGTATTAGAGGGGATGATTGGGAGTATTAGAGGGGATGATTGGCAGTATTAGAGGGGATGATTGGCAGTATTAGAGGGGATGATTGGCAGTATTAGAGGGGATGATTGGTAGTATTAGAGGGGATGATTGGCAGTATTAGAGGGGATGATTGGCAGTATTAGAGGGAATGATTGGCAGTATTAGAGGGGATGATTGGCAGTATTAGAGGGGATGATTGGCAGTATTAGAGGGGGATGATTGGCAGTATTAGAGGGGATGATTGGCAGTATTAGAGGGGATGATTGGCAGTATTAGAGGGGATGATTGGCAGTATTAGAGGGGAATGATTGGCAGTATTAGAGGGAATGATTGGCAGTATTAGAGGGGATGATTGGCAATATTAGAGGGGGATGATTGGCAGTATTAGAAGGGATGATTGGTAGTATTAGAGGGGATGATTGGCAGTATTAGAGGGGATGATTGGCAGTATTAGAGGGGATGATTGGCAGTATTAGAGGGGATGATTGGCAGTATTAGAGGGGGATGATTGGCAGTATTAGAGGGGATGATTGGCAGTATTAGAGGGGATGATTGGCAGTATTAGAGGGGATGATTGGCAGTATTAGAGGGGATGATTGGCAATATTAGAGGGGATGATTGGCAGTATTAGAGGGGATGATTGGCAGTATTAGAGGGGATGATTGGCAGTATTAGAGGGGATGATTGGCAGTATTAAAGGGGGTGATTGGCAGTATTAGAGGGGATGATTGGCAGTATTAGAGGGGGATGATTGGCAGTATTAGAGGGGATGATTGGCAGTATTAGAGGGGATGATTGGCAGTATTAGAGGGGATGATTGGTAGTATTAGAGGGGGATGATTGGCAGTATTAGAGGGGATGATTGGCAGTATTAGAGGGGGTGATTGGCAGTATTAGAGGGAATGATTGGCAGTATTAGAGGGGATGATTGGCAGTATTAGAGGGGATGATTGGCAATATTAGAGGGGATGATTGACAGTATTAGAGGGGATGATTGGCAGTATTAGAGGGGATGATTGGCAATATTAGAGGGGATGATTGGCAGTATTAGAGGGGATGATTGGCAGTATTAGAGGGGATGATTGGCAGTATTAGAGGGGGATGATTGGCAGTATTAGAGGGGGTGATTGGCAGTATTAGAGGGGGTGATTGGCAGTATTAGAGGGGATGATTGGCAGTATTAGAGGGGGATGATTGGCAGTATTAAAGGGGATGATTGGCAGTATTAGAGGGGGTGATTGGCAGTATTAGAGGGGATGATTGGCAGTATTAGAGGGGGATGATTGGCAGTATTAGAGGGGATGATTGGCAGTATTAGAGGGGATGATTGGCAGTATTAGAGGGAATGATTGGCAGTATTAGAGGGGATGATTGGCAGTATTAGAGGGGATGATTGGCAGTATTAGAGGGGATGATTGACAGTATTAGAGGGGATGATTGGCAGTATTAGAGGGGATGATTGGCAATATTAGAGGGGATGATTGGCAGTATTAGAGGGGATGATTGGCAGTATTAGAGGGGATGATTGGCAGTATTAGAGGGGGATGATTGGCAGTATTGGAGGGGGTGATTGGCAGTATTAGAGGGGATGATTGGCAGTTATTATAGGGGATGATTGGCAGTATTAGAGGGGATGATTGGCAGTATTAGAGGGGGATGATTGGCAGTATTAGAGGGGATGATTGGCAGTATTAGAGGGGATGATTGGCAGTATTAGAGGGGATGATTGGCAGTATTAGAGGGGATGATTGGCAGTATTAGAGGGGATGATTGGTAGTATTAGAGGGGATGATTGACAGTATTACAGGAGGATGATTGGCAGTATTAGAGGGAGGTGATTGGCAGTATTAGAGGGAGGTGATTGGCAGTATTAGAGGGAATGATTGCGCAGTATTAGAGGGGATGATTGGCAGTATTAGAGAGAATGATTGGCAGTATTAGAGGGGATGATTGGCAGTATTAGAGGGGATGATTAGCAGTATTAGAGGGGATGATTGGCAGTATTAGAGGGGATGATTAGCAGTATTAGAGGGGATGATTGGCAGTATTAGAGGGGATGATTGGCAGTTATTAGAGGGGGTGATTGGCAGTATTACAGGGGGATGATTGGCAGTATTAGAGGGAGGTGATTGGCAGTATTAGAGGGAATGATTGGCAGTATTAGAGAGGGATGATTGGCAGTATTAGAGGGGATGATTGGCAGTATTAGAGGGGATGATTGGCAGTATTAGAGGGGATGATTGGCAGTATTAGAGGGGATGATTGGCAGTATTAGAGGGGATGATTGGCAGTATTAGAGGGAATGATTGGCAGTATTAGAGGGGATGATTGGCAGTATTAGAGGGGATGATTGGCAATATTAGAGGGGGTGATTGGCAGTATTAGAGGGGATGATTGGCAGTATTAGAGGGGATGATTGGCAGTATTAGAGGGGATGATTGGCAGTATTAGAGGGGATGATTGGCAGTTATTAGAGGGGGTGATTGGCAGTATTACAGGGGGATGATTGGCAGTATTAGAGGGAGGTGATTGGCAGTATTAGAGGGAATGATTGGCAGTATTAGAGGGGATGATTGGCAGTATTAGAGGGGATGATTGGCAGTATTAGAGGGGATGATTGGCAGTATTAGAGAGAATGATTGGCAGTATTAGAGGGGATGATTGGCAGTATTAGAGGGGATGATTGGCAGTATTAGAGGGGATGATTGGCAGTATTAGAGGGGATGATTGGCAGTATTAGAGGGGATGATTGGCAGTATTATAGGGGGTGATTGGCAGTATTAGAGGGGATGATTGACAGTATTAGAGGGGATGATTGGCAGTATTAGAGGGGATGATTGGCAATATTAGAGGGGATGATTGGCAGTATTAGAGGGGATGATTGGCAGTATTAGAGGGGATGATTGGCAGTATTAGAGGGGGATGATTGGCAGTATTAGAGGGGGTGATTGGCAGTATTAGAGGGGATGATTGGCAGTATTAGAGGGGATGATTGGCAGTATTAGAGGGGGATGATTGGCAGTATTAGAGGGGATGATTGGCAGTATTACAGGGGATGATTGGCACTATTACAGGGGATGATTGGCAGTATTAAAGGGGATGATTGGCCATATTACAGGGGATGATTGGCAGTATTACAGGGGATGATTGGCAGTATTAGAGGGATGATTGGCAGTATTCGACGGGATGATTGGCAGTATTAGAGGGGATGATTGGCAGTATTAGAGGGGGATGATTGGCAGTATTAGAGGGGATGATTGGCAGTATTAGAGGGGATGATTGGCAGTATTAGAGGGAATGATTGGCAGTATTAGAGGGGATGATTGGCAGTATTAGAGGGGATGATTGGCAGTATTAGAGGGGGTGATTGGCAGTATTAGAGGGGATGATTGGCAGTATTAGAGGGGGTGATTGGCAGTATTAGAGGGGATGATTGGCAGTATTAGAGGGGGGTGATTGGCAGTATTAGAGGGAATGATTGGCAG